CCAGTCATCCCAAACTGCTTCAATCAACCCTTCAGCCATCATGAACCAATCTAAATCAACTCTTTGTTTCCCTTTTTTTGTCAGAATATGGGATTCAGCTTTTAGCTGTGAATGTATACAAGATCAAATAAACCTTACTATATGGATTGGAGGATATGATCCAAGGTTCTGGGTTATCTCTGACTTTCTCTCCTCCAATGCACTTTGAGAAGGATGTGAGGAGAGAGGATGCATGGAATCGTGGAAAGACAATTGCTAAAGAGCCAAGTACTCAAAGGACAGCAGCTACCACAGCTTAAGACGGGTGTACACTACACTAACATCGCTGAGCCTCTCACATTAATCGACTGTCTTTCCTGACGTTTTTTTTGTCTTGCCAACCTAGTGGTGCACACACTAAACGATCTGGCACAGACGGGGGTCACACACTACAAGATTCTTCCCTTGGTCGTGAGGATTCTCGATACCTCGCTGTCTCACGAAAATAATGATGTGATTAGATTTAACGTAGCTACAATGCGCTGTGGCTCAAAGCAGCCTCAAACGTTTTCCGACAGACATTCCTGCTTGCCATACAGAGTTGAAATATCTAGCCAACATTTTGAATTGAATAACATTGCTTGTGAACTTCAGAGCTGTAACTACAGTGAGGGAAAAAAGTATTTGATCCCCTGCTGATTTTGTACGTTTGCCCACTGACAAAGACATGATCAGTCTATAATTTTAATGGTAGGTTTATTTGAACAGTGAGAGACAGAATAACAACAAAAAAATCCAGAAAAACGCATGTCAAGAATGTTATGAATTGATTTGCATTTTAATGAGGGAAATAAGTATTTGACCCCTCTGCAAAACATGACTTAGTACTTGGTGGCAAAACCCTTGTTGGCAATCACAGAGGTCAAACGTTTCTTGTAGTTGGCCACCAGGTTTGCACACATCTCAGGAGGGATTTTGTCCCACTCCTCTTTGCAGATCTTCTCCAAGTCATTAAGGATTCGATGCTGACGTTTGGCAACTCGAACCTTCAGCTCCCTCCACAGATTTTCTATAGGATTAAGGTCTGGAGACTGGCTAGGCCACTCCAGGACCTTAATGTGCTTCTTCTTGAGCCACTCTTTTGTTGCCTTGGCCGTGTGTTTTGGGTCATTGTCATGCTGGAATACCCATCCACGACCCATTTTCAATGCCCTGGCTGAGGGAATGAGATTCTCACCCAAGATTTGACGGTACATGGCCCCGTCCATCGTCCCTTTGATGCGGTAAAGTTGTCCTGTCCCCTTAGCAGAAAAACACCCCCAAAGCATAATGTTTCCACCTCCATGTTTGACGGTGGGGATGGTGTTCTTGGGGTCATAGGCAGCATTCCTCCTCCTCCAAACACGGCGAGTTGAGTTGATGAGAAGAGCTCGATTTTGGTCTCATCTGACCACAACACTTTCACCCAGATCTCCTCTGAATCATTCAGATGTTCATTGGCAAACTTCAGACGGGCCTGTATATGTGCTTTCATGAGCAGGGGGACCTTGCGGGCGCTGCAGGATTTCAGTCCTTCACGGTGTAGTGTGTTACCAATTGTTTTCTTGGTGACTATGGTCCCAGCTGCCTTGATATCATTGACAAGATCCTCCTGTGTAGTTCTGGGCTGATTCCTCACCGTTCTCATGATCATTGCAACTCCACGAGGTGAGAACTTGCATGGAGCCCCAGGCTGAGGGAGATTGACAGTTCTTTTGTGTTTCTTCCATTTGCGAATAATCGCACCAACTGTTGTCACCTTCTCATCCAGCTGCTTGGCGATGGTCTTGTAGCCCATTCCAGCCTTGTGTAGGTCTACAATCTTGTCCCTGACATTCTTGGAGAGCTCTTTGGTCTTGGCCATGGTGGAGAGTTTGGAATCTGATTGATTGATTGCTTCTGTGGACAGGTGTCTTTTATACAGGTAACAAGCTGAGATTGGGAGCACTCCCTTTAAGAGTGTGCTCCTAATCTCAGCTCGTTACCTGTATAAAAGACACCTGGGAGTCAGAAATCTTTCTGATTGAGAGGGGGTCAAATACTTATTTCCCTCATTAAAATGCAAATCAATTTATAACATTTTTGACATGTGTTTTTCTGGATTTCTGTTCAAATAAACCTACCATTAAAATTATAGACTTATCATTTCTTTGTCAGTGGGCAAACGTACAAAATCAGCAGGGGATCAAATACTTTTTTCCCTCACTGTATTTGACACTTTGGCTTTGGTTATAGGCAAGTACATACTAGTAGTAGTCATCTCTCCTGCTCGAGAGTCTACACATTCTGGGTGATGCAACGTCATCATCTCACTTGCTTCTTCTCTGGCAACCTCATTGGCTATTGCTGACCACCGTTCTCAAAACTTGTCATTGCACATCTCACACTACAAGAGCATTGCAGATTTTGTGCGGATAAAATCAAACGTTTGAAAATATCAGGACGTCTGGAAGTGCTCAAAGAGAAGATCGGTAGCCCTCAGTTGCGTCTCTGAACCGTTCACATTAAACGAGCGTCGGTGATGGCCGTGTGCCCCGAGTAGGCAACGACATGGGGATTTTTTCTCCGATCTCAAAAACTTGTCTGGGACAGCTAAATCAGGGCCAAAATCGTGTAGTGTACACCCGGCTTTACACATCTGTACCTACATGCACCTTATATATAGAAGCAAAAACCTATGTAATTATATTGCAGTTGAATACATAGATACAAGTTGATATAAAACTTTAATACCTGTGTCATGTACAACTGCAAGGATTTGTAAATCAACTCACAATGGAGACAATTTGCATTCTTAATGCTGAGTGCCAAGCAGAAAGGCATCAGATCCCATTTTTAGAGTCTGGTATGACTCGATCTGGGATCGAACCCCCAGCCTTCGAATCTCAGGGCGGACACTCAAACAACAAGGCCTCTGAGTTGGTATTTACAAATGTAATGCATATAAAAATGTAAATGAGTACACAAACTACAAATAGGGATACTGTAACGGCAGAACCTAGAACCATGCAAAGTGGGACCCATCTTTCATATCACAGTGAGATCATGTAACGCCCATGTCAAACTCATTCCACAGAGGACCGAGTCTCTGCGGGTTTTCACTCCTCCCTTGTACTTGATTGATGAAATAAGGTCACTAGTTGGTAAGGAACTCCCCTCACCAGGATGTCTAGGTCTTAATTGAAAGGAAAAATCAAAGACCAGCAGACACTAGGCCCTCCATGAAATAAGTTTGACAACCCTGATGTAATGGATATAATTTGGATACAAAGGGCCTGACAACAGTGTAGGATCCTGTACATCTTTATTCATCACACAAATTGATATTGTTTGCAACATACTGTATCAATGTGCATCAGACAAGCAACTGTTTAATGTTATACAACGTCGTTTGTCAATTATTTTCAAGCAGTTTTCTCTTTAGGGTTGTTGTTAAATATGTTTCATTACATTTTAGCATGTTTATAGTGTTACCATCTACACAGATCTCAGATTAATCACACAATTTGATTTGATGTGGTCATTGTAGGCCGAACGAGGAACTTGCTCTCCCTCTCATACAGTATGGTCACGTTTCAGGCCAACTACATTGCAGACGTTGCATTGCATCAACCCACGGTCAATCGATTTGCACAGTCAGGCATCAGATTGCTATATTATTTGATGTGATATGACATCTCATAAAATGTGATATGACAGCTATCCAGGCGTTGTGAGATTTGGCAGGCGTCTGCAATGTAGTCAGTCTGGAACGTGGCCGGTATGCCTTTGGAACAGCAGAGGCATAGAACACATTCTTCAGGCCACACAACTGATTAGTCCGAATTGATGGTAAGGCAGTGTGTTTGATCCCTGCCGATGGTGAGGTTGCTAATTTGGTCCATGACAGGTTTGTCTGATAGAGGCCATGCAATTCGTCAGTGCTGACAGTGCCGCTGCCAGATTGGTCCATACAAATGATACAGGCAGGATCCCACTGCTGTTTTCCAGTACTATGTACACAGTAGCTACGCACATGTCCAATTAAAATTAATAATTGTGTGTTTGTTCACTTAATTTGCATAACCAGTCAATCATAAAACATATTCATAAGGTCAGCAGCAAATATGGAAAATAAGAATCACAGTAAAATGTTTCAGAGTTCCCTATAACACAAACAAACAAAAGGACAAGGTCCCAGAGTTCTGGAATATCACAAATACGTATTACATACACCATTTCACTGATCAGGAGTGTGTATAATGAGTGTTAGCACTTGTATGTGTGGTGTGTGTGTGTTTGTTAGTTTACTAATTGCACTTGAGGATGAAGATATGTGTATCACATTGCCGGTCAGATATCTGCAGGTTTTTGGCATATTCTGGATACATCTGGAACTGTTCACTATACACATAGGACATGGACATGACTGCACAGAGAATGTAAAGTTAGAAACAACTTGTCATTGCGATACAGCTTATTGGAATAACAGCTCTAAAACATACTCTAAACTAGTAGGTATTCATTCAGAGCATTTTGCCCAGCGGAGAAAAGAAAAGACCATTGAAATTGGCTTCCTAAAAGATATGCAACATTTCAGACTTCACTTCATAGCACAACTTCCACCATAACTGTGTGCCTCTACATTCTGTGCAAAATAATACCAATGTCCACACACACACACATATCCACTCAACTCTCTCTATGTACAGTTATGGCGTTAGTACCATCAGTTCCCCTACAGGGACTAAGACATTCCTTAACCTTCTTCCACCTGTTTTATGTAGTCCTGTAAAGGCCTTGTCAAGGTGACATGGGCATTGTAGGGTTGATGGGGTGTGGGGACAGGTAAACAAAATGGGAAGACACCATTGGAAAAAAGCACCTCACAATGCTCTGTGGCGACCGTTACTTGGGAAAACGACTAATTTGACGACTTGACCGATAGATCTAGTCAAAGGGAGAATGGGTGCTGTGGGGGGAGGAGGAGAAGAGCATTTTTCTCAGAAGAACTTGTCGTCGATGCGGAAGTGTGGCCGCGTCACGTCATCTGGGTTGATGAACACCGAGATGGACTTGCCAGGGTTCTCCGTCACCAGCTGCTGCAGCTTCTTAGCCAAGCGGTCATCCGGCTGGTGCTCGCCGCCCGCGTCTGACTGTGGTGATGGCAGGTTTGAGGCGCTACTGCGCCAATGCAGGTCCAGGGTCAGCCGGTTGGCCGCCTTGGCGTGCTCAATGGTGGTGCGCAGGTGCTCGGCCGGGTCGGAGCGCACCGAGCTGAGCTTGCGGGCGTGGAGCATGGCTGTCTCGTCAGACAGGTGCTCCAGCATGTTGCACTGTGGGATGAAGTAGTTGGGGCACATCTTGTTGACCAGGCAGTTCTGCAGGTCGTCGATGAGGCCTAGCAGGAAGTGGGCTGAGAAGTCTTCCTGGGACAGGTAGGTGGCAGGGAGCCGATCGCAGGCCCACAGCATCAGGCTGCGCAGGTGGTAGGGGCTGATGGCCTTGGGCCTTGACAGCAGCTTGATAATGATGGCCTTGCACGCCTGGTAGGCCTGCATCAGACTGGCCGAGATGCACTTCTTGAGCTGCACTTCGCTGCGGGCGAACGACAGGCGCCACTCATTCTCCTTACGGCCCTTGTGGGAGCAGGCAGGCACCAGGTAGAAGCCGCTGATCACCTCCTCCTCTGTGATCTTGCCGTCCCAGAAGTGGTTCTCCATCAGCCAGCTCTGGGCCACCGCCGGCCATCCCTTGAAGGAGACCACAGGCACGATGTCATAGAGCATGCGGCTGCTGCCCACGCCCAGGATGACGGAGATGATGGTGCCATTCCGCTCCACCTTCTCCACGCGGGGCATGCCGCGCTGGGGCTTCTTCTGGATCTCCACCAGGACCACGCTGATGGACTCATAGAACCAGTCAGCCACCAGCGTGGGTGAGAAGAAGTAGTTGGTGGCGCCGTTGATGTGGTCTACCACTGTGCAGCAGTCCTTCCACTTGTTGATGGTGTCCTCGTCGAAGAGGCGCAGGCTCAGCCACGAGTGGCACAGGGCTGAGTGGCGCATGTCCAGAGTGACCGGCTGGTTGCGGTCGTGCAGCTTGAGCGCGGGCACGAGGAGGGTAAAGTCCATGTCGTAGTCGGTGCCGCGGGCGTAGACACTCAGCTCGTTTAGGTCCATGTCGACCACGCCCTCCCGCACACCACCTGACAGCAGCAGGTACTCGTTGGCCACAGGGAGCTTCTGGTCCAGTTTCTGCACCATACCTGATGGGAGAAGGATGAAGGGGGATTAATAGCGGCCTGTGTGGTCCAGCGGTTAGAGTTGGCATGGGTTCAAATCCGGCCCACTGCCCTTTGACACAACCTTTCCTATCTGTTCAATAAAAAGTACAAAAAATACAAAAGGAGTGGGACTGTCCCACTCCTTAAAAAATAGGGGGATGAATAAACAGCATATAGCTAGCCTATGATTAGGTTTCAGCAGTGCAAATGCTCTGCGTTATTGTCGCAATCCACTCTGAATGACACACTTGAGGTAGAGGACGCCTCTAACCACAGATCTAAGATCAGATTACCCTACCCCCAATACTAACCTTAACATTCAGCGGAGTGGGAAAATATCTGATTAGTGTTGTTTAGATGCAACTTAACCTATTACCAGTAGACCAGAGGGGTATACTACAAAGCAGGATCAATGAGTTAGCCAGCTAGAAATATCTATTTATTTTATGGTTCATTAAGAAAGCTGAACTTGGAAGTGTTTTTGGTTGTTGAGTAAATTTTCCATGCTTGCTTTGCTTCGCTTTGCTCTGCCTTGCATGCTACCCCTTACCCACACGAGTCTCGGGTTCAGCTGGCTCCGGCTGACAGCACCCGGTTAGGGGCACCCACCCAGGGTTACGGGAAAATGTAGGGTAGACTGGGCTCTCAAACCCTGATGGGCAGCCAGTCTAGGAGATGGACAACTCCAATTACAAAGCCTTAATGGCTGACCAGGCGGATACAGGAGTCCCTTCTCCCAAACGGCTGGAAAGGCGGATGAAGGCGGCATCTGATAACTGACGAAATTGGATAAGAGTGTCTCCTAAATGACTAAAATGTAAACGTAAAAAAATAATATACCCCTCTGGATACTAGTGTTGTACCACATCTCTCTACTAGGGGGCAGTGCAAGCCAATTTCCACCCAATCCCTCCAGCCTGCAAGTCTGGGCAATAGAGGCCTATTTCACACCCCCACCAGGGTGTCTGTCACAGTCCAACCACCACGCTGCCCAGTGCCCACTATGGGGATAACATACAGAGCCAGACACTAGGCTATATTGATCTTTACACTAGTATTTCTAGGCCTAAACATTTCAGCGGTTGGATGCGAAATTATGTTACGTTCAGAGCAGAACCCATATTTTTTGGGTTCCATTCCGGTGTTCTGACCAGAAAATAAAGTTCTGAACGGGTTGGAACCAATAAAAACAACAACTGAGAAATCAACATTGTTTTTTCATTTAGCTCATTAATTTACTCTCCCAATTAGTGCAGATTGAGCAGCTTGCTGTGGAACGGGTAAGATAGTGGTTTACATTTTTGATTGGTCAACTAAGTGCAGTCGCGAGATGCGACTGAAATTGGGGAGAGAGCGGTGGACATGGAGGGGGCTTGGCTTGAATCATTACATTAATTGAAATGTGTTTAGGCTTTTACTAGCAATATAACTTCACCAAATTATATACTAGACATTAGGAATATTTTTGGAACTAAAAGATAACATTATTAACCGGTTCTCAAGATTTGAAAATAACGGTTCTGTCCCGGAACACTAGAGATCACTTTCGTGCCCGGTTTTGTTTTTTTGTTCTGTTCCCTGAACCGGTTCCAACCCGATACATTTACATGACATAATATTAACACAGGCCAAATAATCTCCCCTGTCAAAGTCATCCTGCCATCCCATAGCATTTCAGATGTAAAAAAATTACTTGGCATTAGCTTGTGCATCGTTGGCTTCTGGGTTCTGTGTGCACTGCACTGGACTGAGCTAGCCTAGCATGCTCCGTTAGCGTCGGCTGAGTTTATCCATGTGGACTGCAGTGCTCTGCCTCGTTTTGTTTTCCTCTTCACTGATTCCAGGAAGTGTCTGTTCCCTCTCAGCAGCCATAACCCCCAACATAAGAGACGGGCCCGAGTGGCTTGGCGCTGTGGTCTACTGTCACTGTTTTGTTTGAGACACTGTGACTTTGGGAAACTGAGCGCAAGAAGCTTAAGTGTGTAGGCCTACAGCGCAAGTGTGTGTGGGCTTGTATTACTATCTTTGTGAGTACCGGAAATCCCTAAAAAGTCCCCACAAGGATAGTAAAACAAGGAAAACTCTCCCTCATGGGGACATTTCCCAGGTCTCCGCGAGGACAAAGGCTATTTTAGGCTTGAGGGTTAGCTTTAGGGTTACAATTAGGGTTAGGGTTAAGAGTTCAGGTAAGGTTTAGGGAAAATAGGATTTTGAATGGAAATAAATGTGTGTGTGTGACTGTGCGACTGTGAGTGTCTGTCTGTCTGCTACTCTATTTGTATCTTTTGCTCACATCATCTGAGTGAGTTTTCCTGGTGTCCAGTTTTCTGCACTGCTGCTGAACCACCACAACAGTGAACCTAATATGCCAGTCAAATCAAAGTTAGTGCAGTGGTATTCCTATTTTTTCCTGCAAATATATTTTGATTTTTATATCAACAAATAACATCCAATTCATCCAATTTTTATGAAACCAATAAATACATTTACTTCATAAAATTGTATTTTTCAAATATTCTTTCTCAAATACGTTTTTATGTTGTCCCATACAATGACCCGTCATCTTCATTATTTTTATTCTTATAAAAATAAAACAAAAATAATAAGAATTTTGGGGTCATGACCAGACTTTGAATCCAACTGAGTTAGTGGGCATGTTTGAGTGGTAAGGTTAAAGCAACCGACTCTAGACGAAAGCTGAGTAGTAAAGACATTTGTTTATAAAAAAAGATCTTTATAATTTTGAAAAAAACATGTCGCCAACCCCCATATCACACACTCACAAACGGAAATATGTGTGTGTACATTGTACAATGAATTATTGAGAGAGACTCATATCACATTAATTTGTATATCCACTGCTATTTATGAAATGCGGCAAAGTTAGTTCCTGTTTCAGTCATGTTTTTGGTCAGTTCGTGAGCCAAACAAACCCCCCTAATGATTGGTTGACAATAGAGCCTCCCACAACGTAGGCGATGCTGCTGAATGAAGTTGGTGAAGAGCAACTGCAGAAACTTGCAGTCGACTGCAGTCAAAACTTCATGACCTTTGATCACATGATTTTTTGTAGAGATCATGCAGTCAACATGTATTGGTATTTATTAGGATCACACTTTGAAAAGCGGTGACCAACGACTTTCCAAAAGTGATCTGCTCGAACGCGCCCACCGTGATCAGACACAGGGGTTGTTCAACATTGCAGCCGACAGACTAATCTTCAAGTCACCTTCCATCTTAAATAACTACTCATTGTTATTTGAAGATCAGTCAGTCAGTCACAATATATCCATGATACATTACCCAGTGGGCAAAACCTGGTTGAAAAGACGTCAGTATGACGTCTTATTCTGGTCGCAATTGTGACCTCTATCTGACCAGCTCATCATAATTCTGACCACTATATTGCGTTATATTATGTAGGCTACTGGTCATAGTTAAGACCTCATCATAACCTGGTAATGACCGCCTGACTACAGCTTATTACCTTCTGTAAAAAGGATTGCAAAGGATAAAGTTGTATATTGAAAACATTGTTAATTACATTTCTATTTGTTTCCATAGGCACCAATTAAAAGTTTCAATCTGCAACATATTCTTACATTTAAAATAGATCAAGCAATGGCAAAAACAAATCTAGATCACAATTCTTTGCACATCTGCATACAGTAATTGTTTCATAATTCACCCACAGACATTACATGCATAGAAAGACTGGGACAGAGTATATAAACGCACATTGGTTTTTTAAATGAATGCTTAATAAGAGAGTGGTGTGATCGAGTAGATCCTCATCAAGGACCTCAGAGCAGAGCAGAGAAGGCGATCTGGAGTATAGTGACCCTCTTGAATAGTGGTGTGATGGGTCTGATCTGCAGTGAAGAGAATCAGCGCATTACAACTTTATCAATTTGAGATTTAAAAAGAAAAGTAGAAAAGGATGTTCCTGAAGACACTTTGTGGACTCAAAGTATTTCCATGGTACTAGTTGAAGAAGTATGTCACAGCTATAGCTTAGAGAGGTCTTCAAAAAAGAGCAACTTGCTCATATACGTACTTTGCGTCCTCCTCCACCACGGCGGTCAGGGACATATTTTAGGACTTTCCCGAGGGCCCGCAACAACACATCAACCTCCTGAGTTTTCAGGCTTTTCATGACACTTACTGTAAAAAATGTGCACACTTTTTCTAAAGTTATTGTGATCATCATCGCTCTCTGTCCGTCTGTCCCACACACATACACAGACAGAGAGGCAGAGAGACCGATAGAGCGAGAGAGAGACACACTGTCATTAGCTAAACAGATATCAAAATATCAAAATGTTAGCTAGCTGCAGCAGGTAAAAATGTAAACTTACCATGTCCATGGAAGATCAGCTAGAGAGCTAATGTTAGCTAGCTAAAATTAGCCTGTTAGCAAAACTTTCCTTGATGTTCTTCTCCCCAACAAACCGCCGCTTTACTTACAAAAGTAAAACAAGAACTCAGGAGAATGTTATCGAAGTTTTTTGTGCACATTTCGAGAAGCTGTCATTGTTTTCCAGCTGCGTTGTTGTGTAGCCTACCGGGCACTCTGTCCCAATGACACTTGAGCAATGCGCTTGAATGCTCAAGCTGCCTGCACTGCGCACAGATTCCAATCCAAGTTTTAATTGGAACAGATATGCCTACCTCCTCATTTAGCTACTGAAATTAAAATAACAATGCGTGCAGTAATTTGAATTGCTCAAATACTTTAAGAGAAAATATAATTGTCATATTTTCAGTGTCAAATTCAGGTGCAATAATTTCACTAATTATTTAAATTAATGGGATAAAAATAGGGGTTTGTAAATACATGTGGATTGTAGTAGGATATTGCAATAAAATACACAGGCCTATGTGTCTTTTGTTAAGTTCTGAAAACGAATTCAGTTAGTCTATAAAAATCTAAATTGCATTCAGTGGAACAGAAGAAAATGCACAGCATAATAAATTAACAGTTACCATTAGAAGCCACACACAGTTAATTTTTGTAAGGGTATACTGTATTATTGTGCATGTTTATCTTACATGCTGGTAGCCTAGAACAAATATTATGGAAGTGAATGTGCACTTTTCAATTCGGTGGACTGCAACTACGAAAAGCCATAGCCTGTACTAAAATCAACAGCATTTAAAGCATAGATCCTCTAAATTATGAACCATATCTGATGGCTATAGGGCCGCAGAGACTGTCACACATTTTAGCTTGCTAATGACCTAGCAAATTCGATGCCTTGGAGGTGAAATATAAAAAACTATTTAATTGGTATTTCATCACCTGCCGGATAAAAACTTAAAATGGCCCTACTCCTGAAAAAGTTAATCGGGCCGGATGAACTGAAGTGGACTCGCCCGAGTACCATTAGCCTCAGCCCAGAGTAATATGATTATGCCGCACTCGGGAAGAGCTCGGCCCGCATGAAGCCCCCTGAGTCCGAGTCCCCCGAGTCTCAAACGGAATAGATCCAGCTTGTTGACTGGGTCCATGAGACCCTAACCCACTTTGGTGCGCTCTGCAGCTGTTGTTTGCCAACTGCTCTAAGCTGAATCATGCAAACCCTGCTTTAAAAGAACATTACTCCAATTTGTATAACTGCAACGGTTCCAGTGTCATATATTCAATGGGTGCATGGCCAACAAACACTATGCACGTTTATTAATTGAGTAGCATTTAGATAACTGGTCAGTAGTTCGATCAGACTTCAACCAAAAAACATATTCTTCATGATGTCATGAAAAATATGTATTAATCTGGTTTATATGGTTATAAAACCTCCCGACCAGATTTCAACCACGCCGTATTCCCTCGAGCATTGGCACTCACATTTAGTTTGCAGGCGGTGCAGCCCTATGAATGATGTAAGACTAAATTCATACATAATTATATTGTTCAATTTATCTAGGACTGGACAATGACGGGTCAGAGATTAAATAGATATTAGGGATTTAGAGTCAGCCTTTTGATTTGATATCTTGATCTACACTGATAGATTTGAAACAGCACACTCATTATTGCCTCCATTCACCACTGATCAAGCTAGCGGACTGTAGTTGTTATTGAGAATTGTCATAAATACATTTAGCGTAATAAAAACAGTTCTGCCTCATTCTAGGTTCAAATGTCAGCTAAACAGACGTGATTTCCCAACCGACTATCTCTTACCGAGCATGGAGAAAATGAAATCCTTGGCCGTGTGGATCTCGAGCGCTCGCTGGTCGTCATATTCTCGCTGATCGTGTTTACTAAATTCCTGAATCAATCGGTTCAAATCCTCGATTCTGGCCCCGGACCTGAAATCGAGCTCGGGGTAGCTTGGTATGATCTTGTTATTGTTCGTGGAGCTGGGAGTCGCAGTGGGGCTGTTTCCCAAGCTATTTACGGACCCAGCCCGGCTGGTTAGCGCAGGGGCCGCCATGTTTGCAAGAAAAAACAGCACTGTGAACGCAGGCGTCCCAAGGCCCCACACTGGCTACCTCGGCTTCAGTTCAGAACATTGGCCGCTGCTTGCACCAAACAAATCGGAGGTCCTTTAAATTGTACACGGGGTGTGCAAAGTGCTCTCCCTTTGGCTCTCTTGACGCTCATCTGCGTGGCTGTGGTTCAGTGACTGTTGGGGATGGTCTGTCGAATCGTAGGCAAGGTAATTGTCATAGCTAGTGTGAGAGTGATGAAATCAGAAGTCGATGGTGCTGATGATGACGCTAGCCGAATCAGCTCCTCCAGAGCGACAGAATTGCGCTGGCGCACTTACAGTGAGGGAAAAAAGTATTTGATCCCCTGCTGATTTTGTACGTTTGCCCACTGACAAAGACATGATCAGTCTATCATTTTAATGATAGGTTTATTTTAACAGTGAGAGGCAGAATAACAACAACAAAATCCAGAAAAACACATGTCAAAAATGTTATAAATTGATTTGCATTTTAATGAGGGAAATACGTATTTGACCCCCTCTCAATCAGAAAGATGTCTGGCTCCCAGGTGTCTTTTATACAGGTAAGGAGCTGAGATTAGGAGCACACTCTTAAAGAGAGTGCTCCTAATCTCAGCTTGTTATCTGTATAAAAGACACCTGTCCACAGAAGCAATCAATCAGATTCCAAACTCTCCACCATGGCCAAGACCAAAGAGCTTTCCAAGGATGTCAGGGACAAGATTGTAGACCTACACAAGGCTGGAATGGGCTACAAGACCATCGCCAAGCAGCTTGGTGAGAAGGTGACAACAATTGGTGCGATTATTCGCAAATGGAAGAAACACAAAAGACCTGTCAATCTCCCTCGGCCTGGGGCTCCATGCAAGATCTCACCTTGTGGAGTTGCAATGATCATGAGAACGGTGAGGAATCAGCCCAAAACTACACGGGAGGATCTTGTCAATGATCTCAAGGCAGCTGGGACCATAGTCACCAAGAAAACAATTGGTAACACACTACGCCGTGAAGGACTGAAATCCTGCAGCGCCCGCAAGGTCCCCCTGCTCAAGAAAGCACATATACAGGCCCGTCTGAAGTTTGCAAATGAACATCTGAATGATTCAGAGGAGAACTGAGTGAAAGTGTTGTGGTCAGATGAGAGCAAAATCGAGCTCTTTGGCATCAACTCAACTCGCCGTGTTTGGAGGAGGAGGAATGCTGCCTATGACCCCAAGAACACCATCCCCACCGTCAAACATGGAGGTGGAAACATTATGCTTTGGGGGTGTTTTTCTGCTAAGGGGACAGGACAACTTCACCGCATCAAAGGGACGATGGACGGGGCCATGTACCGTCAAATCTTGGGTGAGAACCTCCTTCCCTCAGCTAGGGCACTGAAAATGGGTCGTGGATGGGTATTCCAGCATGACAATGACCCAAAACACACGGCCAAGGCAACAAAAGAGTGGCTCAAGAAGGAGGACATTAAGGTCCTGGAATGGCCTAGCCAGTCTCCAGACCTTAATCCCATAGAAAATCTGTGGAGGGAGCTGAAGGTTCGGGTTGCCAAACGTCAGGCTCGAAACCTTAATGACTTGGAGAAGATCTGCAAAGAGGAGTGGGACAAAATCCCTCCTGAGATGTGTGCAAACCTGGTGGCCAACTATAAGAAACGTCTGACCTCTGATTGCCAACAAGGGTTTTGCCACCAAGTACTAAGTCATGTTTTGCAGAGGGGTCAAATACTTATTTCCCTCATTAAAATGCAAATCAATTTATAACATTTTTGACATGCGTTTTTCTGGATTTTTTTTTGTTATTTTGTCTCTCACTTCAAATAAACCTACCATTACAATTATAGACTGATCATGTCTTTGTCAGTGGGCAAACGTACAAAATCAGCAGAGAATCAAATACTTTTTTCCCCTCACTGTATGTAGCTGATACGTTGCCCAGCCTATTATCTGACATGTTTGGAAGATCTTCTTCTTTAAAGTTTTACGGCAGACTACACCTATTGGTGTATTGCCGCCAAATACTTTTTGGGGTATTGAAACAAAACAAGATAAAAACAAAATACATCAAACAACCATCCCACTCCTTCAGTCACATTCAAATCACGTCCTTACACAGGCTTCCTGTGAGGACGACGCATTCATCGACAGGATTCCTTGTAATGCCTCTGCAGAAAAGTCCCTGAGTCCCAAAAAACGCTCAGCCGCACTCACAATGATGCCTATTTTCTCCGATTTCCTCTCTGTTTGCGCTGTGCAGTTGATAACCAAAGTAAAAAACGCAACAAAGTCCAGCTTCTTAACATGCAACATGTCAGGATCAATCTGTTGACAAGGAATGTAATCTTGTGTCTCTACTCCTACTACCATTACTTCTTCAACTTCACTCCTTTCTTCCAATCTTCTCTTATTTTCTTATTTTTTTTAGCTCAACGCTGATTGTCTAATTTTGTGTCAAGGGAGGCTAAATGCTCGCTGGCTTCCCTTGCATTGAATGTTACTGGCGGCAACGATGTCACACTCGTTTGGACCAGACAGTATCAGATAGATGGCCTACACGTAGAGAGACTGGGGCGCTGTTTCGCTCGGATGCTTTCTCCTTTGAGATACATTCAGCCTCTTGCGAATTGAAGGACAATTATGAAACACTGAGAGACGAAAGATAAATTATTGTAAGCCTGGCTTCCCCCTTGGCGTCCCCACTTCTCGTTATTCTCATCGACGCCACCGCATCCAACACATCCACAATTGTAATAAAGACTTCAAACGGATCTCCCAGGTAACAACATCGACCCAAAACCCTTATTCCAATTCCATCAGAACTAGGTTTGGACTTACTAGTTTCCACTACCACTTTACTTATCTTATTTCCTTTTGCATTCGACACTGCAATCCAATTCTTCTCACACTCATTTCCACTGGACACGCCATCTGATTCAAACGGAACATCTGCTTCCGCCATTTTCCTCACTTTCCTGTTTGGAAGATGATATGTTTTAGATTTTTCACTATTGAAACACATCAAATAAAGTTATTTTTAGATTTTTTTTAAAAATGGTCAGAATATTGGTCCTCTGTAGCTCAATTGGTAGAGCATGGCACTTGTAACGCCAGGGTAGTGGGTTCGATCCCAGGGACCATCGATACGTAAAAATGTATGCACACATGACTGTAAGTCGCTTTGGATAAAAGCGTCTGCTAAATGGCATATTATTATATTATTGAAAGAAAAATGACATCTTGAAATTCAATTATAGCCAAAACACACTGTACTATGTTGTCATGTCCCTACTTGTCCACTAGTTGTCCCCAGTCAGTTCTGTGGTCATGGTTAGAAGGGATACAGCTTTTCGACAGATTTAACTTTTGGTAGCAGGTTAGGAGAATTAACGTATCACGTTAGGAAATTAGGTTAAGGTTAGAAATAGGGTTAGCTAAAATGCAAACATATTAAACTTTTGACGTATATTTGACAAAAGCTGGATACCTTCTAGCCATGACCCAGTTCTGTTTAGCCGTTTTAGACTGTTGACCCGGTAGCGAATGTAGGAGGGGTCATTCGCTCACAAACATGTCGTGGAGGGTGTGCATTTTAAGATGGGCTAGGAATGACATTATTAGTATAGCAACCAGAGGAAACAGGTATGGTGTACGATATGCATTTTGCCCATGGCTGAGTTCCTCAACGACCTTGACCACTGATATATGTATTGTCAGTCTAGAAAAGATAGCTAAAACTGAGCTAGCGGCTGCCAGAGCTAGCTAGGTTAGCTTGACGATGAACAGCTGATCCCTTTGAGATATGTTGCTAGTGGTGCCACAGCCCACTAGTCTTTGCAACCTGTCAATTCACAGTTGTAGTAATATTTGTGGCTGCTTGTTACTTCAGTTTTCCCATTTAATTATTATTTGAGTTGGACTTAGGCTATTCTTCTGTGCCATGTAACGTTAGCTATCTATCTTTTGGGAGCGCCAAAAAGTTGTTGTTTACGAATTGTGCCATGTAAATATGAAAGAATTACCAGCTGCCTTACCTGTGTTCATTTACAGTTAGCACAGCATTTCTTCATCCTGGTCCTGGGGACCCAAAGGCCTGCGCATTTAGTTTTTGCCCTAGCACTACACACATGGGGTGTATTCATTAGCAACAACGGTAGCAAAACGTTTTGCAAAGAAATGTTTTGCAACGAAAACGAGTTACTATCGGACAAAGTTCCAGTAGGTCTGTCCGTCCACTTTCCGTTTGGTTCCTAGTGAATACACCCCAGATTCCACTTATCGCTCATCATCAAACCTTTGATTAGTGGAATCAGGTAGTGCTAGGGCAATAACCACTCCCCAGGAACAGGATGAAAAAACACTGATTTAAGCAGACACTCTTATCCAGAGCGACTTAGTCAGTCATTGAGTAAGTTCCTCCCTTTCAAAATCACTTCTCTTTTTTATAGAAAGAGGATTCAAACCATTTCTCATTTTACTCGGATGCTATTATAGCAAACTAATTGACCAATCATCTGTCTCTTACTCTTCACTGTTCATGCATTTTCATAGATTCACCCTCAACACTCAACAGAGATGTGGGTTCAAGAAAGCAGCAAAGGAGACAAAGACCAAGAAGGGGGCTGTAGAGGAGGCTGGGCCCTCACACACAGAGCCCAGTGAAGGGCTCATCCACAAGAGGGGTGCATCTCAGCCCTTGGAGCCCTCAGTGGCATACACACACCCCAGGAACTTTGGCAGACTGGTCAAGCCCCTGGTGTTCACAATAGGGGTAGGTTTTTAGGTCTTTCTTTAACTAAACAAACACTACTCAATAAACTATACTACAACACAGTACAATATAACTGTATTTCTTGTTACACACCATTACTGTTTAAATCACAGAGTCTTCTATAAGTATATTGCCAGATTCAGCACAGCACTGACAGGGAATAAAGGGGACTAACACCATGTTAGTTTACAGGCTGTTCATTTGGCACAGCGGCCATCTGGCAGTATGAGTCACTGAAGTCCCGGGTCCAGAGCTACTTTGACGAGGTCCGGGCCGACTGGCTGGAGAAACTACGGCCGCAGAAACAGGGGGAACTTCGCAAATGGGTGAGATGAAGGATGGATCAAAACATGCGTGATATTGGGTTAATCCTTTTTATATTTTCAAATACCATACCTCATTAGGGACTTTGCCACTCGCACTAGGCCAAATATCTCAATGCTCCCCCTTTCTCTTCTTGGTGAACTGTTCACACTGATGTCTTAGCAAGTTGTTTCCATATGCTGAGTCGTGTTCATTACTACACGCAAAATAATTTGTAAAAAAAATTAATACATTGCAACAGAACTAAAATGTAAGTTTCTTATTAGACTAGGTTGTCCCTCCCTGTTTGTCAGATTTATTCAGTTAGGTGCCTAATGAACACGACCCAGGTTTCACTACATTGTGTGGGTGTTTTGTCAGACCGGTTCTGTTTCTGTTACAGATCAACCAGTGGTGGAACAGCTTGAGTGAGGGCCAACGTACGGTTACAGGTTAGTCTGTACTGAAGCCCATAGATTTTTTCTTGTCTTCTTCAATAGTAATTAGTTGATACAGATATTGTAAGATAATGATTCTCACTTTCACAGTCAAGATAATATATACTTTTTGTCCGTACGAGACAGAAATGTGTCCTGCTTTATACCCATCTGCTTTGATACACATTAGGTTGGAAAGGCTGGAGCAGCTGCAGTGCGGCGCCCAATGAGCGGTTTAGGTTCCTTGCTCAAGAGAACATCCCGCCATCTTTTTCCACCCGTCAGCACCTCACCCCACCTCTTTCATTATCCACTAATTGCTCATTCATTCTGTGTTGTTCTACTCCACTCTCTCAGGGATCATAGCTGCTAATGCTGTGGTGTTTTGCTGTTGGAGAGTACCATCCCTCCAGCGCTCTATGATCAAATACTTCACCTCCAACCCTGCCTCCAGTGAGTAGGGGAAACTGTCCTATCCTATGGCAAATATATACTTAACTTGATCTCTGCCTCAGGAAGTGTTAATTGTTATGTTCCCCAGCAAAAAAAACAAATAATGTCGCTCAAACAGAAGGGGCAACTAACAGTCACTGACAACCAAAACGAAACAGGTGGGGTTTTAGGAGGGGTTCTGAAAGACACTCATGGGGGTGTCTACTGGAAGTTGACTAGCAACAACAAATGGGACCTAAAAGTCCCCACCATGAGCACCCACTAAATTTGCCCAAGAACAGGCAAACAAAATGAAAACCACCAAACTCAAAGACAGGAAGCAAACCAAAAAGTGGAGCAAAATGAAAACAGGGAAGATCAGATAAAGGATTTAGTCTAGAAATCAAAATAGGGAGAGCCAACTAAAGGTGTTAACCCTTCACATAACTGAAGCACTGGGCCAGCCACTCTTAGATATCACCTGGGCCAGCACAGGTGAAGCACCTTCCAACTAATGAGATGGGCAAGCCAGCACAGGTTTAACACATACTGACAAACGAGGTGACACCAATCGGTGCGCCGAAAGTGCTATACGTACTAAAGTCCAACCTCAAAACATAAATGGAAATACCGAAACCTGTAACAGTAATCAAGTGTCAGGATTAGGACCCTGAGTTTTTCTTCACCACGCACCAGGAAGAGTAGCTGCTGCCAAGGCAGCAGCTAATGGGAATCCATAATAAATACAAATATGTGACCTGACCAGGAAAATCTCAGGAGCCCTTGTTATAGGCTATAGTTTTTCCTGGTCTGGTCAATCATGACACTTTATTACTAGTAACACTGACAGTCAGAGATCCAGTTTATTTGACATATGTAATAAATTAATATTAAAAAATTACAGTAAAAACGGCATTAAAAATAAATATTAACAAATATACAGCTTTTATAGCCCAACCTAATCTGAAAAGACTTGTCCAATAAGAAATAGTGCACACAGTAGCAAACCCTAGCAAAACATTTAGCAATTAAAATATTTTTTATAGGACAAATTCAGGTAGATCCCTCCCCATTTTGAGCAGTTTAGTTCCTAATGAATACTTCCCTGATCTCCTCCTCCTGTCTGTACCCTACCCACAGAAACCCTGTGTTTCCCCATGCTCCTGTCCACATTCAGCCACTACTCCTTCTTCCACATGGCTGCCAACATGTACGTCCTCTGGAGCTTCTCCTCCAGTATCGTCTCCATGCTAGGCAGGGAGCAGTTCATGGCTGTCTACATGTCTGCAGGTACCAGCACGCGTGTGTGTGTGTGTGAGACAGAAACGTCAGAATGTAGTAGACCCATGGGGCGGCGCACAATTGGCCCAGCGTCGTCCAGGGTAGGGGAGGGAATGGCCAGAAGGGATGTAGCTCAGTTGGTAGAGCATGGCGTTTGCAACGCCAGGGTTGTGGGTTTGATTCCCACGGGGGGCCAGTATGAAAAAAATTATAATGTATGTACTAACTGTAAGTCGCTCTGGATAAGAGCATCTGCTAAATGACTGTAATGTAATGTAGACAGATTACTAGTCCTGAAAGTACAGACTTATTTTCAGATAAATAATCAATAATCTCCTCATTGCCAGGTGTTATCTCTACGATGTTCAGCTATGTGTGTAAGACAGCCAGCGGGCGCTTAGGTCCCTCTCTTGGAGCGGTAAGCACCAACATTTTAGACTTCCTGCGGAATTCCCCTTTACTTCCTGTCTCTGACATCACTTCCTGTTCACTTTCTGTCCTCTCCAGTCAGGAGCCATCATGACAGTCTTGGCTGCCGTCTGTACCAAAATGCCAGAGGCTAAGCTGGCAATCATCTTCCTCCCCATGTATGCTTTCTCAGCAGGCAATGTGAGTGAAGAAGCCTTACAGCACACTTAACCACACAGAGGCTATATTCCAATTTTCTACCCATCTCCAGAAGTGTGCGCTCAGGCATTTAAAGGAAATGTCACAATCTTTCAACTTTGTATTCATAATCTCCAGCACTACCCCCAACATCAACATATGTAAAAATGGTGCGTTTCTATGTTTTGTAGTAAAAAAGATTGAGGAAGATAAGTGTTTCCAATGACCTCATCAACCAATTAGTAGACAATGCCTACTCACAATTGGTCAAAATCACACGAATAATACCAATGATGTCATTGGAAACACGTATCTTCCTCAATCTTTTTTTACTACAAAACATAGAAACGCACCATTTTTACATATGTTGATGTTGGGGGTAGTGCTGGAGATTATGAATATTAATACAATTGTGAAGTTTCCCTTTAAAAGTATTGGATTGGTGCAAGCATGGATGGAGCAAGTTTTCACCATATTCCTCATACCCATGAGGGGGAGTATACTAAGGCTGGGAATTGCCAGGCACCTCACGATACTTAGGTGCTGATACGATATGAATTGCGATTCCTCCAATTTCTATATGTATTGCGATTCGATACTGTGATTTTATTGTATTTCGATGTTCCAAACAAATTGCTGCTGCGGAGGGACGAGAGCCATGAGAAAACGAGTTTTGATCAGTCATGGAAATAAAAGTGCTGGTTCCCTATTTAAAAAGAAAATGGAGAACAAGCTATGAAGTAAAAATACTGGAATTTTGGTGCAGGTACAGCAAACTAACGCAAAAATAGTATTGCGATATTGTCAAAATGATACGATATATCGTCAAAAATAATATCCCGATATTTAACTATATCCACCCCCCCCCCCCCCCCCCAGCACTAAAGTGTACAGTTCAGGAGAAGGGTACAGAATCAGAATGTCGGCACAAACTGTCCATCTGTGCATGCATTTTGGACCCATACTACTTGGGGATTTAGTATTGTTGGTATTTGTGATTTTTGGTACGTCTTTTGAAAATTAGGATTTGACTTATTGTGGCTGTGTGAAATGTCTTAGTAGGGTGTCTTATGTGACCTACTGTGCAGACTTACTGAGATAATCAGCAACCTACAGTGAGGGAAAAAAGTATTTGATCCCCTGCTGATTTTGTACGTTTGCCCACTGACAAAGAAATGATCAGTCTATAATTTTAAAGGTACGTTTATTTGAACAGTGAGAGACAGAATAACAACAAAAAAATCCAGAAAAACGCATGTCAAAAATGTTATAAATTGATTTGCATTTTAATGAGGGAAATGAGTATTTGACCCCTCTCAATCAGAAAGATTTCTGGCTCCCAGGTGTCTTTTATACAGGTAATGAGCTGAGATTAGAGCACACTCTTAAAGGGAGTGCTCCTAATCTCAGCTTGTTACCTGTATAAAAGACACCTGTCCACAGAAGCAATCAATCAATCAGATTCCAAACTCTCCACCATGGCCAAGACCAAAGAGCTCTCCAAGGATGTCAGGGACAAGATTGTAGACCTACACAAGGCTGGAATGGGCTACAAGACCATCGCCAAGCAGCTTGGTGAGAAGGTGACAACAGTTGGTGCGATTATTCGCAAATGGAAGGAACACAAAATAACTGTCAATCTCCCTCGGCCTGGGGCTCCATGCAAGATCTCACCTCGTGGAGTTGCAATGATCATGAGAACGGTGAGGAATCAGCCCAGATCTACACAGGAGGATCTTGTCAATGATCTCAAGGCAGCTGGGACCATAGTCTCCAAGAAAACAATTGGTAACACACTACGCCATGGAGGACTGAAATCCTGCAGCGCCCGCAAGGTCCCCCTGCTCAAGAAAGCACATATACACGGCCATCTGAAGTTTGCCAATGAACATCTGAATGATTCAGAGGAGATCTGGGTGAAAGTGTTGTGGTCAGATGAGACCAAAATCGACCTCTTTGGCATCAATTCAACTCGCTGTGTTTGGAGGAGGAGGAATGCTGCCTATGACCCTAAGAACACCATCCCCACCGTCAAACATGGAGGTGGAAACATTATGCTTTGGGGGTCTTTTTCTGCTAAGGGGACAGGACAACTTCACCGCATCAAAGGGACGATGGACGGGGCCATGTACCGTCAAATCTTGGGTGAGAATCTCCTTCCCTCAGCCAGGGCATTGAAAATGGGTCGTGGATGGGTATTCCAGCATGACAATGACCCAAAACACACGGCCAAGGCAACAAGGGAGTGGCTCAAGAAGAAGCACATTAAGGTCCTGGAGTGGCCTAGCCAGTCTCCAGACCTTAATCCCATAGAAAATCTGTGGAGGGAGCTGAAGGTTCGAGTTGCCAAACGTCAGCCTCAAATCCTTAATGACTTGGAGAAGATCTGCAAAGAGGAGTGGAACAAAATCCCTCCTGAGATGTATGCAAACCTGGTGGCCAACTACAAGAAACGTCTGACCTCTGTGATTGCCAACAAGGGTTTTGCCACCAAGTACTAAGTCATGTTTAGCAGAGGGGTCAAATACAAATTTCCCTCATTAAAATGCAAATCAATTTATAACATTTTTGACATGCGTTTTTCTGGATGTTTTTGTTGTTATTCTGTCTCTCACTGTTCAAATAAACCTACCATTAAAATTATTTACTGATCATTTCTTTGTCAGTGGGCAAACTTACAAAATCAGCAGGGGATCAAATACTTTTTTCCCTCACTGTAGCTACCAGCAACCAGTCATTTTCAAAGAAAGGAGACACCGCGACTAGCGAGCTAGTGACCAGAGTTTGAACATTTCCCAAGTTGATGCAAATTTCAGCAAAGCGACCGCCTGACAGCCAATCGTGGGAGGGCAGCTCTTGCTAGTAAGCTTTGACATTGACTAACAATAAAATCGCCCACCCCCCTTACTAGCTCTGAATTAGCTTACTATGACTGTGATATGTGGTTGTCCTTCCTAGCTATCTTAAGATGAATGCACGAACTGTAAGTCGCTCTGGATAAGAGCATCTGCTAAATGACTAAAATGTAAGTGTGAGACCAGTTCTTTGTTGTCCTATTTATTCACACCATCCTTTTTCTCTTCTCCTGTCCAGGCATTGAAAGCCATAGTAGCCATGGATACAGCTGGCCTAGTTTTAGGATGGCGGTACTTCGACCACGCAGCCCATCTAGGCGGAGCTCTTTTTGGGATGTAAGTCAGCTTCTAGTCCGTCTGTCTGCTCTCACTCACTTATTCACTTACTCTCTCACACACTCATCCCCATTAAACTGACTGTTGCACAGGGCAGCCACAAAACCTCTCAACATCTAGGTCAAGCTAGCTGTCTTTGTCCATCTTCTCCACTATACCCCGGCTTTACTGATTTTGTTTGGGGGGCACCCCCCCTCCCAAACTGCTCCTGGGGCGCCACTCTTCTTACTCTGTGCTGCTCCCAACCTATCGTGTACATGTGTGGTATTGGGTCGGGTACTACGACAGCGGAAAATTGACTAATTTAAGATCTATTCTTTTAGTCTCGTTTGAGCTCTGTCCGTTCTACCTCTCTTCCTATTTCTATATGTTCCTCACCTATTCTCTTATTTTTTTGCAGCTGGTACATCATGTATGGCCACGAGCTGATATGGAAGAACCGCGAGCCACTAGTGAAGGTGTGGCATGACCTTAGGACAAAGGGTCCTGGTGGGGGAGGAAACGGTGGTAGCGGCCCCCTGTAGAGCGCACTGGACTGGGTGAATGCATATGGATGGACTGGCCTTGGCTGTTATGTATAAATTAACAGATGACAGAAGTGTCAATAGCATCAACAGCCTTGCTGGCCACACAAACCAAAGCCCAACTCTCCATTTACCCCACACACACACACACACAAGCTCTACGTTTGTCTCTCTCACACTCACACATGAAAATCCCATTTGCATTCAGTGCGCTCTCTCTCTCTCTCACACACTACATAATAATGCAGGGCTTTGTATGTTTGTGAGCAAAGAGGAGAGGACACATTGTTGAGTTAAACTAGGGCCTGTATTCACAAAGTGTTAATCTAGGATTAGTTTTGCCTTTTAGATCAGATTATATGTGAATACGGACCCAGGAGCCTACAGGTCATTGTCATCATCATCATCTCCCCAAATGCTGAGGTGGAGGCCTAAACCCTAAGATATGAAAACCACAGGATCACAAAACCCCTCCCACTGTCAGTACAGGGGATGGCTAGGGAGCTAAATTGCATTCAGAATGTATTCAGATCCCTTGAATATTTCCACATTTTGTTACGTTACAGTTATTCTAAAATGGATTAAAATGTTTTTTTCCCTCGTCAATCTACACACAATACCCCATAATGATGATGCAAAAACAAGTTTTTAGAAATCTTTGCAAATTTATAAAAAATGTAAAATGGAATAATCACATTTACATAAGTATTCAGACCCTTTACTCAGTACTTTGTTGAAGCACCTTTGGCAGCGATTACAGCCTCAAGTCTTCTTGGGTATGACGCTATAGGCTTGGCACACCAGTATTTGGGGAGTTTCTCCCATTCTTCTCTGCAGATCCTCTCAAGCTCTGTCAGATTGGATGGGGAGCGTCGCTGCACAGCTATTTTCAGGTCTCCAGAGATGTTAGATCGGGTTCAAGTCCGGGCTCTGGCTGGGCCACTCAAGGACATTCAGAGACTTGTCCCCGAAGCCACTCCTGCATTGTCTTGGCTGTGTGCTTAGGGGCGTCCTGTTCGCCCCAGTCTGAGGTCCTGAGTGCTCTGTGGCAGGTTTTCATCAAGGATCTCTCTGTACTTTGCTCTGTTCATCTTTCCCTCTATCCTCTATCTCCCAGTCCCTGCCGCTGAAAAACATCCCCACAGCATGATGCTGCTGCCACCACCATGCTTCACCGTAGGGATGGTGCCAGGTTTCCTCCAGACGTGACGCTTGGTATTCAGCCCAAAGAGTTCAATCTTGGTTTCATCAGACCAGATAATCTTATTTCTCATGGTTGGAGTTCTTTAGGTGCCTTTTGGCAATCTCCAAGCAGGCTGTCATGTGCCTTTTACTGAGTGGCTTCCGTCTGGCCACTCTACCATAAAGGCCTGATTGGTGGAGTGCTGCAGAGACGGTTGTCCTTCTGGAAGGTTCTCCCGTCTCCACAGAGGAGCTATGGAGCTCTGTCAGAGAGTCCATTGGGTTCTTGGTCACCTCCCTGATTGAGGCCCTTCTCCCCTGATTGCTCAGTTTGCCCGGGCGGCCATCTCTAAGAAGAGTCTTGGTGGTACCAAACTTCTTCCATTTAAGAGTGATGGAGGCCACTGTGTTCTTGGGGACCTTCAATGCTGCAGAATGTTTTGGGTACCCTTCCCCAGATCTGTGCCTCAACACAATCCTGTCTCGGAGCTCTACGGACAATTCCTTCGACCACATGGCTTGGTTTTTGCTCTGACATGCACTGTCAATTGTGGGACCTTATATAGACGGGTGTGTGCCTTTCCAAATCATGTCCAATCAATTGAATTTACCACAGGTGGACTCCAATCAAGTTGTAGAAACATCTCAAGGATGATCAATGGAAACAACAGGATGCACCTGAGCTAAATTTCAAGTCTCATAGCAAAAGGTCTAAATACTTATGTAAATAGGGCATTTCTGTTTTTAAATTAATACATTTGCGAAAATTTCTAAATAACCTGTTTTCGCTTTGTCATTATGGGGTATTGTGTGTAGATTGAGGATTTTAAAAAATGTAATCCATTTTTAATAAGGTAACAATGTGGAAGGCACTGTACAGTGTCAAAACCAATGATGTCACATCTACATTTGTTTTATATGATACACGTGTATATGATGATGATGTCGACAGTCAAAAGCACTCATTATTCTCTGACCCCTGCACACCCCAAATGTTTTTATTTTCGGGTGTGAAATGATAGTAGCGATTGCTTCGCACCTCTTGTTTATCATTTCCTCCAGATCTGAAAATTGAAGATATTGGACTTAAATACACTGAGTGTACAAAACATTAAGAATACCCCCCACCCACCCACCCTTTGCCCTCAGAATAGCCTCAATTCGTCGGGCATGGAATCTACAAGGTGTCGAAAGCGTACCACAGGAATGCTGGCCCATGTTGTCGCCAATGCTTCCCACAGTTGTGTCAAGTTGGCTGGATGTCCTTTGGGTGGTGGACCATTCTTGATACACACGGGAAACTGTTGAGCGTGAAAAACCCAGCAGCGTTGCAGTTCTTGACACAAACCGGTGCGCCTGGCACCTACTGCCAAACCCCGTTCAAAGGCACTTCAATATTTTGTCTTGCCCATTCACCCTCTGAATGGCACACATACACAATCCTTGTCTCAGGGCTTAAAAATCCTTCTTTAACCTGTGTCCTCCCCTTCATCTACACTGATTTAAAGTGGATTTAACAAGTGACATCAATAAGGGATCATAGCTTTCACCTGGATTCACCTGGTCAGTCTGTCATGGAAAGAGCCGTTCTTAATGTTTTGTAGACTCAGTGTATGCACAGGAGTATTTGTTGTAGAGGAAATAATCATTTTTGTTTGTTATTTGAACCAAATAAAAGGTTTATTTAAATATTATTATTTTGTCTTATGTGTTCCAGGCCATGGCTCTACTGTGATTTATGTACAGCTGTACAGTATTTACCATGGTAGGATTGCATTTCTGTTGACTATTTCACTAAAAGAGTCTCATGTCAATCAAACAGAGAAAGGTGATGGACTTTGCTCCCTCTTCAGTAAACCATTAACTAAAAGCCATAAAACGATACATCTTTTCAGTGACTGGAATTACAGAGGCTTTGTACCCCTGAATCACTGTTATCACCTGGATACTGGAAGGAAGACACTCGTGCCTTTATCCAGAAGTCATGTGCCCTTTTTGTTTTTAAACAGGATGTTGTTTCATGATGTCATATTATTCTGAAATTGGCATAAACAGGCATTTGAATTTTGCTTTTTAAGCATTTTGGGCTTAAATGGTCATCTGGGCTTCACTGTAGCTTTGGTGCTGGCAGGTTAGGATACATCCTGGTATCTTTGGTGCTGGTTAGGATACATCCTGGTATCTTTGGTGCTGGTTAGGATACATCCTGGTTAGGATACATCCTGGTATCTTTGGTGCTGGTAAGGATACATCCTGATATATTTGGTGCTGGTTAGGATACATCCTGGATATTGATGTAACAAAACAAAAAAAAATGACCGAAGTCCACAAACGGTCAAAAGCCAGAGACTGTGTCTGATATGGTTTGTAGATAAAGAGAGGAAGTCTTCTCATTTCCTCTTCCTCTTGACTCACTTTTCTCCCATTTGTGATACTTGAAAAAAATTATGAGAATGACCACGGTTTATGCTGCCGTCAGAGTCAAAACAGTATTTAGCAAATTATCACCGCTGTCTTTTGCTCAGAATGAGATTCTCGTTTAAATCTGCTTCCCAAATAGCACCCTGGTCCCTTTTATAGGGGACTACTTTAGACCAGGGCGCATAGGACTCTGGTCAAAAGTAGTGCACTATACATGTATAGGGATATGCACCCTTAGTCATTTTGACCATAACTGTATCATTGTGTCCTTAATTGTGTATCACAGGGTTTGGTTCAATTCCATATAAATTCAGTCAAAAGTTAATCATTAAAAAGGTGTCGTTTATTTTTGGTGTGAATTTCACTTCACTTGACCCTGGTGTATAATACGATTATGTGTTTGAAAAAGTGAACAGTAGTTTCTCTGTGAGTTTTAGATGTGTTGCTTCTCAGTGTGTTTGTGCGTAAGGTTCTTGAGGTTTGTACCAAAGTAGTGTAAGATATAGGGTGCCATTTGGGACATTGAACCCACAGTGCAGATCTGGGGGAGAGTAAAAGGCCACGTGCAGAGGTGAGCATGTGTGCTGAGTGGGAGATCGTTTTGAAGGTCATTGATCCACCCGATACCCAAATATCACCTCAGTGGGACCACAGCCTCTGTTCCAAAAAATACCCTTCACTTTCTCTTCCTCCATCTTACCTATTCCATAGCCCACCAGGGAAACAGACACCTGGTGTTAAACACCTGAATAGAACAAGTGGATAGAAACACAAATTAGACTCGAACAACAGAGGATACAAAATACCACTCAACAACACAGCAGACTCAGCAACAAAGACCGAAAGTTCAAGTCATTCTCATCACAGAAACAGTAGGTAAATTGGTTTACTTTTCCATTTCTTTGTTTGAGAGATTGGTTTATACAGTATACTCATCTGGATGGTGTAACATAGTCTTAACAAATAATTAAATTCCTTGCGATTAGATTTCTCTAAACATTTAGATGGATTGTGTTGTTTTAATTGATCAATGTTACACACAATTGGACATTTTTTATTGAACTGCTGTTTTTGTTTTGTTTGATTTGCTAAAGTGAAAACGTTCAAAGTTCTTTCCATTCGATCACTTTACTACAGACAGATACGTTTGTGACTTACAAATATATTTCCTCTGAAGCACTGGTAGGTACACACTACCCAGCTGGGGAGAAAATGGCCCACCATGTCCCCATGACATGCTTTTTTGGTTGTAAACTGGTTGAGAAGTTTACAACCATCTGATGTCTGTTACAACCAGGTAAAGATGCCTTTTTCATGACGTCATGGGAAGGACATATAGTGCCTTCAGAAAGTATTCATAACCCTTGACTTATTCCACATTGTGTTGTGTTACAGCCTGAATTCAAAATGGATTCAATATGTTTTTTCTCTCCCATGTACTTACAATATCCCATAATGACAAAGTGAAAACGTTTTTTGAAATTTGTGCAAATGTATTGAAAATGAAATACAGTAATATCTCATTTACATATCCCTTTGCTATGACACTCCAAATTGAGCTTGGGTGCATCCAATTTGCTTTGATCATCCTTGGGATGTCACTACAACGTGGAGTCCACCTGTGGCCAATTCAATTGTTTGGACATGATTTAGAAAGAAACACACCTGTCTATATGAGGTCCCACAGTTGACAGTGCATGTCAGAGCAGGAACTATACAATGAACTCCAAGGAACTGGCCGTAGATCTACGAGATAGAATTGTGATGAGACATATATCTGGGGAAGGGTATAAAACAATGTCTAGAGTGTTGAAAGTTTCCAAGAGCACAGTGGTCTCCATCATTGGGAAATGGGAAAAACATGGAACGACCCAGACTCTGCCTAGAGCTGGCCATCCGACCAAAGTGAGCAACCGGGCAAGAAGGACCTTGGTCAGGGAGGTGACCAAGAACCCAATGACCACTCTACAGAGTTCCATGGCTTAGATTGGAGAACATGCCAGAAGGACAACAGTCTCTACAGCACTTCACCAATCTGGGCTTTAAGGGAGAGTGGCCAGACGGAAGCCACTCCTGCGAAAAAGGCACAAGACACCACGCCTGGAGTTTGCAAAAAGGCACGTGAAAGACTGAGATTATAAGGCAAAAGATTATGTGGTATGATGAGACAAAAATGTAACTCTTTGGCCTGAATGCAATACGCTATGTCTGGAGAAAACCAGGCACAGCTCATCACCCGTCTAACACCATCCCTACCATTAATTATACTATGGGGATGCTTTTCACCGGCAGGGACTGGGAGACTGGTAAGGATAGATGGGAACAATGAATGGAGCCAAATACAGGCAAATCCTTGACGAGAACCTGCTTCAGAGTGCAAACGACCTTAGCCTGGGGGGCAAGGTTTACGTTCCAACAGGACAATGACCCCAAGCATACAGCAAAAGCAATGCTGGAATGGCTTCAGAACAATAACGTGAAAGTCCTTGAGTGGCCCAGTCAAAGCCCAGACTTGATTCCCATTGAAAATCTGTGGAAAGACTTGAATATTGCTGTTCAACACCACTCCCCATCTAATTTAACAGAGCTTGAGATAATCTGCAAGGAAGAATGGGGGAAAATCCCAAAATCCAGATGTGCAAAGCTGATACAGACATACCCAAGACGACTCAAAGCTGTAATCGCCGTCAAAGGTGCTTCTACAATTATTGACTTAGGGGTGTGAATACCTATGTAAATGTGGTATTTCATTTTCAATACATTTGCTAACATTTCTAAAAACATATTTTCACTTTGTCATTATGGGGTATAGTGTAGATGTGAGAAAAACATATATTTAATCCATTATGAATTTCTGAAGGCACTGTATGTTGGTGGTTCAGATAAAGTATTTTCCTGGTTGCTAAAACCACATAAACAAAACACCCTTATACAACCATCATACAACCTGACCATGATGACATGAAATATATCACATTGAAGACAGTGCAACCCGTTTTGCCTACTGGGATATAATTTAGCTAACATTACAGTGTTTGTAGGTTCATAACTAATACATAACAAAAACATTTAGTTGTGCCTTCTCTCTTCCCAGTAAATCAGGCGGCAGGACGGACCACCATGCTTTTAGCTTTCCAGGTCCTGGGTCTGTCTTTAGGGGTGATTGGCTGGTGTCTGGAGAACAGCTGCACTAGTTCCCATTCCTGGAGGGTCCGCAGCCACTCTGGGGCTGTCACAATCAACAACTGGCAGTTCGAGGGCCTGTGGATGACCTGCGCAGCCACGTCCCTGGGCTCTGTGCAGTGCCAGAAATACAAGACTGTACTGGGGCTACCAGGTGAGAGACACATGCAGGCCTCAGTGCAATACTCACATGCAGTATTAAAGTGGCGATCTGTAGTTTAAACAACAACAAAATGGTTTTGGTAAACAGCTGAGGAATGGTGTTGGAGAAATGTAACCACTTTCAAATTCAAAGATAGAGCTATGGATTGGACTGACCATCCAAACTATAGTTTTAACAATGTTTTGAGGCTATATAGTCTTTGTTTGCAATTACATTGTTTAAAAAACCTGTATATGTTGGGTTCTGATGGGGTACGACAGTTCAACTAAGCTCATGAGGCATTTATAATTTGTAGTCTTCAAATATCTATGGGTTTATGTTATTAATTTAAAAGTCCAAAATTGGATTACAGATTGCCCTGCCAGGATGTCTTTTTCTATGATCAAATACAAATCTTTGAATGTTGTAAACATCTTCCTTGGTTACCACATAAACATACTTCCTTCCCTGGTAGATGCCTCCAAGTTTCAAAATGAGTAGTGTGTATGCACGAACAGTGGTTTGTAGGCAAAAGCACTGTGTAAACATTGCAATGGCGGCTTTCGATTAAATTCCAGCCAACAGTGTGACCCAGCAGTTAGATATCGGCTGCTGATTAAAATACTTAAGACTCTTGATGTAGTTTTACCCTTGTCTAAAGTGAAGTGTCCATACAGCACCAATTAATTAAGAAACTGAGCAAAGATCTAAAGAAGTATTTGCATTACAAAAGTATTGTGTAGATGAGGCTGACATACAGTATCTGTGAAATAAATTGTAGTAGGCCTGTAGTACGGCTTTCATATTAGGACAGCCAAAGTCTCAGCAGGACTTTTTGAAGCTGTTCTCATAGTATTTCTTACTTCCATTCCTACGTCACTGTCACTTTCAACTGTCGACCTCCAGACTGAAGACTGCAGGCCATATGGTCTCAGTTTCAGGCCATGAAGGTAATAGGGGTTGTAAAACGCAGAAGTATCATTGTATCATCGCAAGGTCAATCATTGACAGTCATACTGACCTTGGTTTATTTTCATTGTGTGTGTGTGCCTCTATTACACTGCAACAGACTCCTAGATAACCACACATTCATAAGAATTAAGAACTGTAGTCAGAACCCAAGTCACCTCACCACCAAAGGTTGGAGTACTTTCATTGTTACAGAGAGCGATATTAACCTGAATATTCTAAGGAGACACCAATGGCAAACATCAATGGCAGGTACTGTATCTATTGTGAAACTCCTGATTTAATAGTTGAGAAAGTCAAACAGTGGGTCAGGGTGTGTGTCATCGCTTTCGATTAACCAATCAAAACCAATTTCGATGAACCAATCTGTCATATTGTTAATTTCCTTAGACCACCCCTAAGCTCAAAACCCTTGTCACCGTCACCTTATAGGTGAAGCCTCTATGGTTTTTACACGCCTTTTTATCGCTTTACAACCCCTGTGCAAAGACTAAAGTTCTCTGCATTTGAAACAAGACAACAGACACCCAGCACATTGGAGACCGAGCAAGGACATACGACAACTTGCTTTACTCGTGAGGCCATTTTCAATCATCCTGTGTGTCTGAGGGTTTCAACTTCAAGAGTTTGGAAGCCTTTTCCCACACCTGTGTGTGTGTGCTCTGGGTGATCATGTCGACGGCGGTGGAACTAACTGGGTTTTTGTTATGCGTGGCGAGCTGGCTACTCACAGGCTCCTCACTAGCCAATGACTACTGGAAGTTGTCCTCGGTGTCTGGCAGTGTCATCGTATCCACACGCCAGTTCCAGAATCTATTCCATTCGTGTGCCGAGAACAGCGCCGGCATTAGGAACTGCAAAGACTTTGAGTCTATGCTCGCTCTGCCTGGTAGGTACTGGACTAATTGATCATCTCCAAAACCTGTCCCAAACAATATCAGCAAATTAGTTTGACATCCCTGGCCAAAGGGAACTGTAAAGGGAAATGTTTCCTGCTCCTCTGTGTCACTTTTTAAGAATAAGAGGAACACAATGTCTTCATATTTTCAATGGAAACATGAATGATCCATGCATTGGTACAGTTCTGTATCTTAGACACATCCTACATCTGAGTTAAAGCCTCCATTTGTGTGTTCTATAGGTGACATACAGGAAGTTGAAATCAGCCTTTAGCAGTTCCTCTTATTCGGGGTCGGCAGGTAGCTTAGTGGGTAAGAGCGTTGTGCCAGTAACCGAAAGGTCGCTGGTTCTAATCCCCGAGCCGACTAGGTGAAAAATCTGTCGATGTGCCCTTAAGCAAGGCACTTAACCCTAATTGCTCCTGTAAGTCGCTCTGGATAAGAGCGTCTGCTAAATGACTAAAATGTAATGTAAATGTGTCTAACAATTAAAAAAGGCCACCAGCACTCGCTTGATAGCAGCAATTGAAGTCTGTTTATTTTCTTTAGGCAACATGTCCCACTAGCACACCCTGCAAACATTTCTACTATGCCTTCTTCAGTGTTTGTGTGTGTTGTTAGACACGCAAGAGGATAGAGTTGAGCACATTTCCCTCCCTCTCCAAGTCCCAGTCTACTTAGGCTCTCTATCTATCCAATGTCTGTTGTTGACTGGAACTCTGTCGCTTCCTGTGTTCAGGCTACATACAGGCATGTCGAGCCCTGATGATCATCGCTCTGCTCCTGGGTCTAGCGTCCATCATTGTGTCAGTGCTGGGGCTGAAATGCACAAAGATCGGCAGCACTTCTGAACAGGCCAAGGGCAAAATCGCTCTGACAGGCGGCAGCTTGTTGATCTTATCAGGTGTGTCCCCAACTCCCAACTGCCAGCATTATCAGCTTTCTTCAGTACCAATCTCTCTCTTTTTCTTCCCCCCATCTCTCATTCTTCTGCCGTTTATCAACCATCTCAATCTGCCTCTCCTGCAGGTCTTTCCACCTTGACTGCTGTGTCATGGTACGCTGCACGGGTGGTGCAGGAGTTCCATGATCCATTCTTTGCAGGAGTAAGGTGAGTACACATCCCAAAAGCTGAAAGTACTGCTTGGGAATTGGCGTTCTAATTAGGGCCAGGAGTTTTTTCCGGTCAGGTCACATCACTCAACCAATCAATGAAAACCTTGTTCATAAAAACCTTTTATTGAAGGAATCATTCTGAGTTGGGTACACACACACACACAGGTAAAGTTGATTAATTCTCTGTCCCTGTAGGTTTGAGCTGGGTGCAGGTTTATACATGGGCTGGGGAGCTGCCTGTCTGGCCATTCTAGGTGGGGTCATGCTCTGCTGTTCCTGTAAGAGGGGTCCATCAGGACCACCAACAGGGTGAGTAATTGCGTCCACAAGGATGAGTCCCAAATTGCACCCTAATCCCTATATAGTGCACTATAGGGCTCTGGTCCATTTGGGATGCAGCCAACGACACGTCCTACTCCCAAAGCTAACATGCAAGCTAACCATTATCCTACCAAAACCATGGTCTTGGTTGGACAAAGTGAGGACAACACTATCTCAGGTCTCCAGGCAGGTGATGGGCTAGCCAACACTAGTTAGCTAGCGATTTCCCATCTATTACATCAGCTAGTCAAATAAATAATTGTTGTCCAATCTATTGTACCCTACTTGTCTTACAGGGGATATTCAAACAACTACTCCAAAGCAGGCCGTGGACAACAGATCTACAGGGCAGCACCTGTGTCAGAGTCGGGGAGTTCAAAAGCTTATGTTTAAAGCAGTTTAAAATGTTTTATTTTTTTCAATCTAATTGTTTGTTTGTCTGTTTCCATTTGTTTCTTCACCAAAGCGTACATGTACTGGTTTGAATTTGCCATTATATATTTTTGTTGTTTTGTTTTTGTGGTCTTCTTGAGTTGAGTCACTGTGAAATATTAATGCAATGTGTATTGCTTTGAAATGTATTGAAAATAAAACCATTGCTCTGTTGATGGTTATTGTTCTATTGATATAGGATATCCAAATGAATGGAAAATATAAGCTATGCCACAACTCCAAATGAATGGAAAAAATACCCACTGGGCACAGACGTCTATTCCACATTGGTTCAACATCATTTCATTGAAATGATGTGGAAACAACGTTGATTCAACCAGTGTGTGCCCAGTGGGTAAGCATCAGTACTTACCTGAATTGTATAGTCATCCTGTGATTCTAAACTGACTTCTAGATCGCTCAGCTCCCTGCTGGACATTTTAAAGGAATACTCCACTCAAAAATAAAAAACATGTATATTCTGTTATTAATTTACGGGACGGTTGAGCTAACGTGCGCCAATGTGATTAGCATGACTGTTGTAAGTAACAGCAAACTTTCCAGGACATAGACATGTCTTATCTGGGCAGAAAGCTTAAATCCTTGTTAATCTAACTGCACTGTCCAATTTACAGTAGCTATTACAGTGAAAAAATACCATGCGATTATTTGAGGAGAGTGCACAACAACAAAAAACATATCACGGCAACTGGTTTGATACATTCACCTCGGAAGGTAAGTAATGTACTTATATTCAGTAATCTTGCTCTGATTCGTCATCCTGAGGGTCCCAGGGATAAAATGTAGCATAGTTTTGTTTGATAAAATCCATTTTTATATTCAAATGCAGGAACTGGGTTCTACAGTTTGAACCCCTGCTGTCTCTGGCTCCACACCCACCCCGCCCGGCCATCTAGATGTGTGAAAGTTAGTGTATACATTCCTGGGAGTGTGTAAACTTACATTCTGTATTACCATATCATTATGTACTTGAAAATGTGTCAATTGACCAATTCGGCACATTTGGGCAGACTTGATACAAAATAATCCAGTATAGCAATGCTTCACCGGAGCAATCTGAAACTTTGCACACACACTGCTGCCATCCAGTGGCCAAAATCTAAATTGCACCTTAACTGCAACATTATATTGTGGCCTTTCTCTTGCATTTCAAAGATGATGGAACAAAACAAATAATAGAAAATGCATGTTTTTTTGTTTGTATGATCTTTTACCAGATCTAATGTGTTATATTCTCCTACATTAGTTTCACATTTCCACAAACTTCAAAGTGTTTCCTTTCAAATGGTATCAAGGATATGCATATCCTTGTTTCAGGTCCTGAGCTACAGGCAGTTAGATTTGGGTATGTCATTTTAAGCGAAAATGGAAAAAAAGGGTCCGATCCTTAAGAGGTTAACATTTCATCTGATATGTCTACTATGTGTCTAACCCAGGTACTTGGGTCAGAATCTGTTGTACAAATCTACAGTTGGACTGCTTCAAACAGGGTAAAATAATTTGGATAATGTAACCGGCGTCACTGTGCTAGATTATCTGTTTCACTTCCTCCCTCAACTTGCCACTGACTAGGCTTGAGCCACACTCTTAGAAAAAAGCGACTTACAGTTAGTGAGTGCATACATTTTCATACTGGCCCCCTGTGGGAATCGAACCCACAACCCTGGCATTGCAAACGCCATGCTCTACCAACTGAGCTACACGGGGCCTGTAGTAATAAAACATTACTGTCCGGCAACTGCCAGTTAACCAGCATGACAACTGTCTGATTTCACAAGACTGTTGAAAATACCAATAAGTATGCAAAATGTATTTTAAGGTAAGCAGAGTAGATTTTTTAATTGAAATATATGAAGTCAATCATATCATAATCTATAGGCTAGAATAGATAAGGTCAAAAGACCAGTGGAAAAATATCAGAATTGGGCTGCCTGTCTAACCATAGAGCTACAGACCCAGCCTGACATTGGAAAAAGCTAATAGTTACTTTTATTTCAGTGTGGAGTCAGATTATGTTTCATGACGCTATAACAAGAGTGGACTGAGTGCTGCTAACCTCTGAATGTGCGTGATGGGTTTACAGAGGTAATAATCTCTCCCTCAACATCAACAAAACGAAGGAGCTGATCGTGGACTTTAGGAGACAGCAGAGGGAGCATGCCCCGATCCACATCGACAGGGCTGCAGTGGAGAAGGTGAAAAGCACAGGTGCATCAAAGCTGGGACCCGAGAGACTGAAAAACAGCTTCTATCTCAAGGCCATCAGACTGTTAAATAGTCACCACTAACCGGCCTCCACCCAGTACCTTGCCCCAAACTTTAGTGACTGTCACTAGCCGGTTACCACCCGGTTACTCAACCCTGCACCTTAGAGACGGCTGCCTATTTACATAGACATGGAACACTGTCACTTAAATCATGTTTACATACTGTTTTACCCACTTTGTATGTATTCTAGTCAAGGCCTATCCTATTTAACTATTGCTCTACATATACTATTCTATCCTACATATTCTTCAGGTATACTACTATATATATATATATATATACACACACATACAGTACCAGTCAAAAGTTTGGACACACCTACTCATTGCAGGGTTTTTCTTTATTTTTACTATAAACCAGATGGGATGGCGTATCGCTGCAGAATGCTGTGGTAGCCATGCTGGTTAAGTGTGCCGACAGTGTCACCAGCAAAGCACCATCACACCTCCTCCTCCATGCTTCATGGTGGGAACCACACAAGCAGAGATCATCCGTTCACCTACGCTGCGTCTCACAAAGACACAGTGGTTGGAACCAAAAATCTAATCAGACCAAAGGACAGATTTCCACCGGTCTAATGTCCATTGCTTGTGTTTCTTGGCTCAAGCAAGTCTCTTCTTATTATTGGTGTCCTTTAGTAGTGTTTTTTTTGCAGCAATTCGACCATGAAGGCCTTATTCACACAGTCTCCTCTGAACAGTTGATGTTGAGATGTGTCTGTTACTTGAACTCTATGAAGCATTTATTTTGGCTGCAATCTGAGGCTGGTAACTCTAATGAACTTATCCTCTGCAGCAGAGGTGACTCTGGGTCTTCCTTTCTTGTGGCGGTCCTCTTGAGAGCCAGTTTCATCATAGCGCTTGATGGTTTTTACGACTGCACTTTAAGAAACTTTCAAAGTTCTTGAAATGTTCCGGACTGACTGACCTTCATGTCTTAAAGTAATGATAGACTGTCGTTTCTCTTTGCTTATTTGAGCTGTTCTTGCCATAATATGTACTACCAAATAGGGCTATCTTCTGTATACAACCCCTACCTTGTCACAACAAGAAGGAAATAAATTCCACAAAGTAACTTTTAACAAGGCACACCTGTTAATTGAAATGCATTCCAGGTGACTACCTCATTAATCTGGTTGAGAGAATGCCAAGAGTGTGCAAAGCTGTCATCAAGCCAAAGGGTGGCTACTTTGAAGAATCTCAAATATAAAATATATTTTGATTTGAATAACACTTTTTTGGTTACTACATTATTCTATATGTGTTATTTCATAGTCCTGATGTCTTCACTATTATTCTACAAAGTAGAAAATAGTAAAAATAAAGAAAAACCCTGGAATGAGTAGGTGTGTCCAAACTTTTGACTGGTACTGTATGTATGTATCTCTGCCAAAGGTGCTTCAACAAAGTACTGAGTAAAGGGTCTGAATATTTATGTAAATGTCATATTTCCAAGCACAAGACAGGTGAAACAGATCAGGGTGTGACAGTGTCTGTGTATAGGAACCCTCCCTAGTCGTTCTTTAAAATATGATCAATATGAACAAGTAGAAGGTTGCTGCAGTTTGACAGGGTTTTTTCCTCCCCAAGGCCAGGAGTTTTCTAAACCATGTGATCTGATTAGAAAAACGCTGGTCCCATCATAGCCCATATTAAACCTTTTTACAACAGATTAATTAAATCATGCTGTATAAGGTCCGGGGTTTTACCTGCTTAGGTTACCAGATCAGGAAAAACTACGTTCCCCAGATTATTTTTTTGACACACCACTCTTGGACCTGTGGTGCCACCTCTGGTGCCTTCTGTTCCCCTCTATGATGCTCACAGGATGCGCAGAAGGGAGTGTGACAAAAACAGGAATTTGGCCACATAACAATATAGTTGAATAGCCCTGTCATAGCCATTCTAAGGTGAGTTGCACAGATCCCCATCTGCTACATTCACCCCCCAAACACACTCCACAGCGACCCCAGCGGTTGAGCTGAGTGCAACTGTAGATCCGAGTCCAGCTTGCTTAGCGAGTACCGCTTCCCCCTGATTCAGCTCATACAGAGACATGAACTCAGGACCTCTGCCTCGAAAACACACGTGACCACCCTCCTGTAGCATACCAACCCATCGGGCTATTAAAAAAGTCCTTCTTCAATTGTGCAAGGGGCGACACTTCAGGCTGAGGAGTGAGTTTCAAAGATCCCCATCTGCTACACTAATACAAGTCTTCAAGATCCAGGAAGGTTACTCATCAAAAGAGTGTGGTTTGATGACCCATGCTTATGTGATGAGAACCTTGCCTGAGACCTGAAGACGTGTTAGTTTGACATGTGTTAGTTTGGTTATGTGACTTGGATGGGTCTCTTCAAAGAGGAGGTCAAATGGGGGTGAAGTTTAACACAGGTGGTTCGGGGACCATGTTTGAGTGATGAGTAACTTGTCAGGGACCTGAAAAGTTACATTGTCTGGTGCACAAGAGACCTGGGTTAGAACCCCATCAGTCAATCTAACACATCTTCAGGTCTCAGGCAATAAGGTTGCTCATCACATGCATGGATCACCAAACCACCTCTGTTGCACTCTCATTGGGGTGCAAAGATCCAACTGCTTCTGTTTGCCACAGAAAGTGTTGTTTTTGTATAGTACGCCTGAGTTTGAACCCAGTCAGCTATATTGGTGCCGTTAGGTCCACGCTCTTTTGATGAGTAACCTTGCTGGAGACTTGACAACTTAGCTTCCTGAACTCATCCCTATGAGCTTTAGTTGAGTGGGCTAACACAGTCTTGTGACATGCAGGAGACCCGGTTCGAACCAAGTCAGTCACAAGAGCAAGATTAATTAAGGGGCGAATGCGATTTTGGACTGGTAAATTGCTGAACCTGGCGTAAGGGGCAGAAAACGCCAGAGCGCCAGTTTTTATGTGCGTTTGGCACTTGCGCCGCCTTAGCACCAGCTGAAAATAGAACACAATTTGGTTCGTTGAAGAAGAACCCCTAGGGTTCTGTTCAAAGAATCCTACAAAAGGGTTCTATATA